GGGGTGGGCCTACCGCCCTCACATAGGTCACACCTCTCACTGAAGTAGTGAGCCTTAAGTTAGTAGTATTGATGTCATCTGAGAGTGGGAAGGTAGGCCAGCTGATAAGGAGCTAAGGGTTGGTGGGCTTCCCCTGTCATTAATATCAGTAAATAGAGTTAAATGATGATTAAGCGATGTCGTTAATGAAGGTTAACTCAGATTGTTATTATTATGCTTCTTCAAGCATGCGCAGTTGGTTCCTGACTGTTGCTGTCTTGTTGGCTGAATGGCTGAATCTCTGTTAGGGTTCTCTCTGGCAGTTCAGCGCTGCAATCGGTTTTACTTTCTCATTCACTTTTTTCCCACCTTCCCACCACTGACACATGCATACCTTACATGGGGTTTAGGGGGGTCTCCACTGGGTCATCTTCCTAGTGTGATGGGGCATTAAGTCCTGCCCTGCGATCAGCCCTAATCAATATTCCTGCATGCCAATAACCACAGCTAATTGCCTCAAACGTTAATCCCTAAACAGTGTTATGCCTTTACAGCTGTCTTAGCCTAGCTGCTGCTTCAACTTGGTACCCCGGCTTACACCAGGCCCTCAGGAGTCTTACAACCCCAAAGCTCTACCGGGGTTACACTGGGTCCTAGTGGGGTTATCATTCAGTGGCAGCAAGGGCAAATCCTTGAGTATGTAAGGCATATTATCAAGGGATTTAGAGGTAAAGCTGGCTTTATGGCTTCATGAGGATATTGGGCGGGCTAAGGGGTGGGCTTACCCCCTCACATAGATCACACATCTCGCTGAAGCGGTGGGCCTTAAGTTAGTAGTATTGATGTCATCTGAGAGTGGGAAGGTAAGCCAGCTGATAAGGAGCTAAGGGATTGGTGGGCTTCCCCTGTCATTAATATCAGTAAATAGAGTTAAAGTTATTTCGTTCACAACGCAGCTGTGTAAACGCATTGAAAATGCTATAAAACGATGCAAAATCAATATGGATTTGAGTGAACCATTGCTGTGTAAACATAGCCTAAGTCTAAGCATGGTCAAAGTCAATATCTAGAAAGCACTGTCGTAGTCTGGTGAGGCTAGCATTGTTGCTATGGGTAACCATAAATATTAGAAGAGGAGTAATAGTGGATTGCATATAAACTATTATTGTCAATTCATTGTAAAGCAAGCCAAAAACATATGTTGGAGTCACTGTTATGTTATGGCAGAGCCATAAGTGTTATGTAAAGTCAGTTGATATACTAATGATCAGTTTTGACACATTGTACACTCCATTATGTTTGCTGGCACCCTTCATTAATGGTAAAAAGTTTGCCTATAAAAATTTATTTCACTTTACACTTATATTTTGGTTCTTTGTTATTACACCATTACATTTTGGTTATGGCTAGGGGTGATGCAAAAGTTAATTTACTTTTGTGCCAACTCAAATGAACTTGACTAGAAAGGTACAACCTAATCAAACGCCAGATTTAGTATTTGTGGACTGTAGGTAGATATGAATAATTGTAGTCAGTTGACACAGTTAATGTATCTACTACCTAAATGGTATCGCTCTACAGGCTGTACACAGTTACATAGAAAGAAGTTAAGCATTAGTGTTGCATGATTGACATTACAGTTAAAGTTAAGGTATGTTAAAATTGTACAATAATCTTTTATTCTGAAAACTATACATCAAGATATGCAAATTAGTTCTGAAGGTCAGCATCTACTATGCAGCTTGTTGCTTGAAAATTGTGGTTTAACTTTGGATGATGTTGAGCAACATGTTGCACGATATACACTTTATTAAACATGTCGTAAAACCACATCAACTATATAGGCAACAACGTTGCCTAGTGTATGCCCCCTAGTTTTGAATTTTACATGCAATGAACGACATTAAAATAAAGTTTATTACATCAGCAGAATTTAAATCAAAGTAATAATTATTCACAGTATAACAGGACCTCTGTTGCTAACACGTTGCCTTCGTTCTTGTAGCATTTCAATAAATGGATTTGAAGCAATGCTGGCATTAATTCTCTGCATCCACTCCATCATTTCTTCTGCAGAAGAAGCTTGAATTCGATACACTTGATGATTGCCAGTAACTACTTTTCCTTGTCCAGTAGTTTTGCATGCTTTAATTGTACCCTTTTGAATATATTGCATTGCTGGAACTGATATTATTTCAAAGCAATACTACAAAATAAAGAAACACAAATAAATTAGAATTTTTATAACAATTCCATTGTTAACTAAATCAGAGGAGCACTAGGGATTAACTTCGTGGGATTATCTTGTCCCACAATCATGAGGCAGTGCCTGAAAGTGCATTTTACATCCATTCTATTCTAATTCATAATAACCCATCAAAACCTTCCAGAGTACCTAGAGACTCCAAAATTGGTACACATTTTCAGAAGAACCCGTTTTGCAACTAAACTAAAATACAGGTTGCTAGGATTAATTATCAAATTGTAAGGGGTGGTGCCTCAGCAACTCTACTTCAACTGACTATGTGTGTATTGCAAAGGATATAGTTGTCCATAGCATGTAAACTGTGTGCAAGCTTTCTACTATACAACCTAAATTTATTTGTCTGAACTTATGTATTCAACATTCAAAATTTAGAAAAGTGCCTAAGATATAAAAAACATTTCCAAAATTAGCAGTGAAAGTGACTATTACTTTAATTGAACCAAGGTTTAACAAAATTTAATAAACTTACTGGCCTCCTAAGGTCATGACATTGCTTTACTTCCAAGTTTTCTAATGGGATTATTCCTCTTGGTTCCTTATCCTATAAAATATTAATAGAATTAATTATTTTCATACATGACTCACTCCGGGACTCTTGAAATAGTAGAGACAATTGTCAGATAGAATAAACCAACGCTTACACCAGCTTTTGTGTTTACCACCTACATAATTTTGAAAGCAAAAACAACGTTCCTGCCAAATTACAGATACAAAAATTGAACATTAAAAAAAGCACAAATTTGCATTTAAAAAGTCATCCTCACTATTAATTTTTTCTACCTTCATTTGCCAAAAAGTAGCTGGTATTGGTACCTCATAGGGAGGGTATTTTTTCACAACATCCACTTAACAAGTTAATTGCAGTTTAAGCAGTGGTTAAACCACATTAACTTAAGGTGGAGGTAATAGAGGCACGCATGTGCAGAAGTGGTATAGTTTAAAGAAGACACACTGCACTGACAGGCACCCTTAAGCTAAAGAGACAACAATTTACAACCAATCCCAAGTTCTATTAGCATATACCGCATGGGTTCAAATTTAAGAGTGTTTAAAATTTTGTGTTTTCAATGAAATGCACTCAAAAATTAATATTTGTGTGAGCCAATTTTTGTGTTCTGGCCATAGTCTACATACCATACAATGGTATTAGAGGTGGTTTAAATTTCATGGATTTAAGGTGAGCACAAAAATAACAAAATTTAATACAATTCAAAAATTAAGACACACACGGTAGCCTATGGTATGAAGGAACATTGCCTAGACACTCCCCTTTCTGGAATTTGCCTTCACAATAGTAAATTAATTGTAATTAATAATTGTTAAACCAATCAGTGTCTTAAAATTAATAATAATTTTAACAGTGAGGGGATGGAAAATTGGCGCTCTGGATTCCATTATCCCAACATGCACTCAACAAGATAAGCAAAAATTTAGAGCCACCCTAGGTCAAAATAGGATTCACTGGAAGCATGAAAGTTTGTTCTCTTCATGTAGCAGAGCTAACAAATTTATGGCAGTTATTTTAAAGGAGAATTAACCTACTTATTAATGTGCCATTGGATAAAATTAACACACTACAATACCTTCATTGCTCATTAGCACAATTTAAATAGGTTAATCAACAACTACTTTAATATGACATTAATTGTGCATTTAGCTTAATGTGACCCATGAAAATAATTTATTCTTTTTCTAATTTAAATTTAAGCACTACAGTATACAGGGAATTTACTAAAACTAGACATAGACATCTTGATATCATAAAAAAGATAAACCACCAAGTTAAGGGATATATAGATGAACAGGTGGATACATCAGTATAAAGGATATGTGGATATGATTCTCTCCAAGCAAATTTTATCTTCTCCCAAAATTCTTTACATCACATTTTTCTTTAAATGTTATTTTTTAGAAAACGAGAGCACTTAAGTGTGCAGACCCTCCCCACAAAATTTATGTAGGTTGAGCTATTTGTGTTTTTAATAAAAGAAACTGTCAGAGTTTATGTTTGTCATGATTGCAAAGATGGTCCAGGTTTGTTTCACCCATATATCAGAGAGATTTTTCATAATCATTCATTTAATTCTGACAACAAACATACATGCAGTGAGACCATAGGATTGTGTCAATGATTGAACTGACATAGTGAAACAGTATAGATAGCATCTAATTTAAAAACTTCGATGATCAATATAATTATAGGCACATAAAACAGATTAGATAATAGATTTGTTTATTTAGGACCCCCCATCACCACATAGCCCGTTAGCCTGTATTAAGCTTAGCACTAGTACAGCAGCTTTGCAGGCGGGGGCTTGGGGAGATCCATTCAAAAATTGGTAAATGTTCCTATTTTGTTATTATAATTATGTAGGGACTGCCTCTGCATTTTAATTTATATATTTTTGAAAAGTTCATTGTGGGTTGTACCCCTTTTACTTATACCACATCAAATAACCAAGGATAAGTAATAGTTAATACATGGGGCGGCGTGTTCTATCTGATTTATCCGCACAAGCTTCCGGTCGAGTCGCTAAAAATAGTGCACGAGGCCGAAGGCCGAGTGCGCTATTTTAGCGACGAGACCGGAAGCGAGTGCGGATAAATCAGATAGCACACGACGCCACATGTATTAATTGTTTTAGTGTATAGTTCCAACAAAGATTGCACGTGTTCTGCTATCACCAATATCACTCTGCTGCACATTAAATAAATGAGTGTGCTATTTATAATATCACACTGCGGTATTGGTGGGAGTGTTCTGTGGGTTCTATCACAACTGTTAGGCCTTTGATCTTTGCTGCAACTATACATTAACCACTGATAGTTAACTGTACACACCCACTTGTATCTACAGATAACCACAATTTATTTTTACGACATGGGGGCCTAGCCCCCATGTCGTCATAGGCCTAGGAATGATTTCACCCACGTGCACATGCGATTTAGCAACCACCCACCCACCACAGGCACCATCCTTACTTACTGGGTGCAGAGATATGTACCGGGAACCAAATTCTGACTTTGGCTATCAGTCTCATCAACTGCATTTGCATCTACCTCTTTTAAGTGTACTAATTCCTTTTAGAGTGAGGGTTTTTTTCATCCCGATAACTGTCAACAGACACTGCTGCATGCATGCTGCAGCAATGTAAAAGCATAGATACTGTCTACACATGGATATGAAACTCCTTTATATACACATATAAATTCCATAAGGAAACGTCATAAACGTCACATCTGGCTGTCCTCACCCATGCTTCGCTGCATTCATGGCTGCCAGGGTAAGTAAAGCAATCACAGTAGCCTATTCATTTGTTCAAGTAGCTGAATGATCCCTCAGAGGACTTTGCAAAGCCTTTATATACTGAAATAATGCTTATAAAAGATAGTTTGACAGCATATTATAGTTCTACAATGGATGTCATAGCCTACTTGTTGTGTACATTTCACTCAAGCCACTTTTTTAGCTTAACTCTGTTGAATTAGGCCAACATTTTTTATTTTACTTATAGGTTATTGTTGACTAGTTGTAGTGGGGCTATTATTTAGAGTTTGTGTTAAGTAGAAGAGCTGTTATTTTCTAAATATTGGTTTTTCAAGCCCCATCTTTCTAGCCAATTTTTTTTGTAATACTTGACTTAATTGGAACTTTTTCTATTTGGTTTCGTACCTTGAGAATAGGTAGTTGTCGTGGGCCTATTCTCAAAAGGAGTGTATTTTTAGTTTTGATTGTCAAAATCATCATTTTTAGGTGACAAGAGATGGGAAAGTCATGCATTGGTAGACTGCATAATACTAAAAGAAAAGGAAAATTTCAGCAATTATCATGAATTATGATGCGTGATAAATGTCAAGTTTTATTGTATTTTTGTACATAAAATCTCACTTTTATTAGCAATAATAATACTTTTTATCATTGTTTTTATTTTATTCTGAATGAAAAATGTAATATGATGTATTTCCGGTGAAACAAGCCTCAGAACATCCGGTCGGGCCATGTTTCATATCCATGTGTATACAGTAACTATGGTAAAAGTGTGGCTGCAATGAAGGTGTGGCTCAAATAAGCCATGCTCCACCCGCACACACAGTAATGGTGGCACATGGCCCTAAGTGGTGAAGAAAGCTTCGGTTTTTCTCGACTTTTGAACAGTTTAGCATACATTTGTTAGGCTCTCTTTGTTGCATACAGACTGCTATTTACTCCCTGATGCTTAAAGACTATGGCCGCTACCTCGGGAGAAGAGAGCCCGTCTAAACTCACAAGGTATGAAAGTTTGGGCTATGATATCTTTAAAAGGAAGAGGATTGAAGTAATTTCTTACATATTAATTAAAGATAAGGCTTTGTTCTATCGTTTCATTTGTCTTGCTCCTTTTTAGCTTTCACCACAAAGATATAGATTTGTACCGACTACATATGGCGACATTGTGAGCTCTTTCTACCTCGGGAAAGACCAGCCAAGCATTTTCCAGACAGAAAATAACTTTTGCTAGAGCTAGTTGTGATTATAAGACTATCCATGATTTCACAAAAAAGCAGTGTCAGCTCAAAAGTCGAGGTCAAACAAACACACACACACACAGACAGGACGACAGGACAACGGCTTTATCCTCGCTTCACGCCTACGTGTGGCTCGGGTAACTACAATCAATGCCACACTGTTCATAACATAGTAGAAAGTACAAGCAATTTACAAGTCAGTGACAGCTAAAATATTATATGGATTAGACATACATGCAGTATGCCAAAATCGGTAAATAGAACTCTGAGCCCCAAAATATCCAGCATAGACAAAGTCTAAACTGGGGCAACAGTCTCACACATGTATGCTGCTATACACAAGAAAAGGTATGCTATAATAATTGATATTCTTTATACTTACAACCACATCAAACTCTCTAATGCTCTGAAATCTAAAGAAAGCCAATGTCTCTCCATTATTACAAAGACAAGACAAGGCTACTGCAAGTAGGGCTGAGAGGTATACCGGTATTTCTATATACTGCGGTATTACATTTAGATATAGAAGGTAGAGTAAACAATCAATGATCGGACACCACCCATTTTCAGACACTTGTTTTGAGAAAACTATACTTTGCAATCTCATGAAACTGCAAACTATTATAGCAATATTTGTCCTTTATTTGTGTTGCAAAAACTGTAGCTGTAGCAAGAGTGCATCGAAAGTCATACACTCTCAAAGCATGGTGTCCAACAATACCAATAATGGGCCAAAATCCTCAATCTTCCGACAGCCTTTTCTGAACGGCAGGAAAGAATAGTTTTAGAAAGTCACTATAATAACTTTGTAGGCCTGTCCATAAACTAACTTTTCACCAGCCAGACCTTTTTGATAGCTGTCTTTTTGACAGAAATAATGGCCACTTACATGTATCACCTGATTGCTCAATATATGGGCAAATTTCACAAAATTCTACAAAATTGATAATTTTATGGATTTGTACAAATAAAATTCATAACTTTTGTATACTTTTGTAAAATTTGTCTATATATTGAGGGATCAGGTGATACATTTAAGTGGGGGTTATCTGTGTCAAAAAGACAGCTATCAAAAAGATCTGGCCGATGAAAAGTTAGTTTAAGGACAGGACTACAAAGTTATCACAGTGACTTTCTAAAACTATTCTTTCCTGCT